CTTTCATATGTAAAGCATAGATATTGAAGCACGAATATAACCCTGAGATAAGAGAATTAAAAAGTGTGATAGAATCAAAACCATATCATTTAAATAATTTTAATTAATTGATTAATTAATTAGCTAATCAATTGCTAGGCGCACTAAGGCTTTGAATATCACAAATATATATATATATATATATATATATATATATATATATATATATATATATATATATATATATATATATATGGAAACGTTTAAAGGCAAATATTATCGCTAAACTCTGCCTTTCTGCCGTTATAGGTTTATTATAGGTTTTACTATTATTAACCGCATTATAGGTTTTAGATCACCATCTATTTTGTGGCTCAATACTGCTCCAAGTCCATACCCACTAGCATCACAAGTAATAACAATTGGAAGGCGAGGGTCATAATGAGTTAATACATCATTTGGCATTAGTAACTTTTTACTCTGCTGAAAAGTTTGTTCAGCTTCCTCAGTCCATTCAAATTTCGTGTTTGCTTTGCATAGGTCATATAATGGTTTAAGCTTTGTTTCAAAATTTAAAAGCTTACCTTCTATATCTAATGTGACTTTACATGGTTTCTCATACTCTTGTTTTACATTACCAATAAAACCTAACTCTAAAGAATTTTCCTCGCACTCACTATGATCGTATTGCACTGTGTTTACTGAATTTCTTTTCCTGTATGTACGACTGATGTGGCCTCTTTTGTGGCGATTGTAATACTCCCAGTTCTTCGCAGGACAACTTGCTGGGTTATGATTCCTTTTACACCAATAACATCCTTGTTTAGGGGCCATAATTCTGCATGTCCTTGAACTCGATGAACTTTGCATGTTATGGAACCAGCCTGCAACAAAAATAATAATAAATAAAAACTGGGACGGATTATACACATTCATAAACAAGAAAATAGCAGTCAATAATTCTAAAAAAGCGTCATAATTAAAAACAGTCATATTCCAAATATAGTTTGAAAAAATATACTTACATATTCAGAAAAATTGGCTCAACTCAAAATGCAACAATACTCCGCACCACGCAAAAGTACTTTCCTCGTTTACAACTTTGAAAAAACTGTCACGATACAAAAAAGAACAGTATTTTATTTATTGCTTTAATCAGATATAACTAATAGTTCACACAAAAACTGTCACAATTCTAAATGTAATTCGTTTCAGGATTAAGTACTACGTTTAGACTGTTATAAAGTCAAAGGTGATACTGTATGCTGAGCTAACCTGCAAAAAGCAAAAGTTTCACATTGAGATTTTGCGGTAAATAGTTCAAATATAATAGTGACGTCTTTATGGAAGAAAGTACGACTTATTTTAATACTTGTAGCATGTTCATCTCAATAATGGCGATTTTTGAGTTGTGCCTCTTTTTAGCGAAGGTGCGACATGCATTCAGTCGTTTAAAACCTCTGACTACACCTAAGCAGATATTGTAAACTTGACTTGACGCCATTAATCTCTATTTTCAGCCTTTTCAATGCAACTGTACTGATACGTGCCTGCCATTTTGTGATATTTGATGAACATATTGTCATCTTGCCTTGATAATCAGCCGAACACCGCACAACAATGCTTCCCTACGGATAAATCGATAAAACATTATTTTAGAGTTACCCAATTTAAAAATCTGGAATGCTACATTAGAGAATAGCTAGAGCCAAGTAAAGAAATCAAGTGCAGAATTGGAGCAGCTCGCCCAAGTTTCTGAAAATAAAATCATTCTTTTGGAACCAGAATGTTATGAAAGTACCTTTAAAAAAGAGACCAGTATGTTTTATGTTATGTTATATGTTTCATGTCAGTCGTGAATGGGTCAATAAATAAGTTAGTTGAAGTTAGTTGAGTCTTATTTATTATAATACTATAACTTTATAACATATTTGGCGACGAAGATAGTCGGATCTACGAGCCGTGGAAGTTAGGGCTTTAATTAGTAATATTGAGCAGTTTAACAATAAAATTTCTAACATAACCTCATATATTGAGGTTAATCATTGCAGAGAGGCATAACTTTTATTTAAGCAAACAGGAGACAAATGAACCATTAAGAGATTATGCTCAAAAGTTGAAAACCTTTTCAAGCACTGACAATTTGGTAACTTATTAAATGAAGCCTTAACGGATAAATTCGTTTGTGGATTGAAATCAGATACAATAAGAAGAAAATTACTGGCTGAAAGTAATTTAACATTCTAAACAGCTCTTCAAGAAACCCAACGTATGGCGGTGGTAGAAGATCAATCAAGATTTTTGGAGTCAGGTACAGTGGTGACGATCTTTTCGCTTGGAAAGACTACACTTCCAAGCCGAAACTTAAGCATTGTGGCAACGATAGCGTTCCGTATCTTACAGACATTAAAAAAATAATAGCTAAGCGAGGCAATACAAATCTACTATATTCCACTGATTACCAAGAATCTAATACCAACCCAGTAAGCACAAGTACGTACATAAGACAAACTAAGTACGTACTGATGGGACATAAAGTATGTACAATGTACGTACTTTGCTCTACGAAATACGTACTTAATACGTACATTTTCCAAATTATGGTACATACCTAGTACGTACTGAAGGTACGTACCTAGTACATATTGAAGGTATGTACTTAGTACATACTATATACACATAATATGTACATACTATACACACACTGATGATATATGTAAATAAAAGTAAATATAGATGAATTTATTTTTATTTTTTTTTAAATTCAATTTTTATTTTTTTTTTTAAATAATAAAGAAAGTGTTTAAGTAATCCCCGACTCTCCTCAACCATCGTCCAATTTCTTGCTCCGCCACCTTCTTATCACTACATTTTTGACACAAAAAACACTCGACTGAATAAAATAACAGAAAACCACACTATAAGCCCCAAACACCAAAAAATAAATAAAAAAAATCTAAATGAAACTCTTGCAATAAATTATCACATCAAAACTGTACTCGAGGTGAAAAATTCCTAACTAAATAAATTAGGTTAGGTTAACATAACCTAGCATAAGAAATATGCTTTAACTCTTCTTTCTCATGGTACATACTTAAGACGTAATAGTACGTACTCTTCTGTACGTACTATTATGTACCTCAGTGTACGTATTTAAAACGTACATTTTACATCATGTACGTACAGTACCAAAATTGTACGTACTTAAAACGTACTGTGCTGTTTGGGAAAGTGCTAAATTTCTTACAAGCTAAATATATCAAGAACTTTCCAATTCCTGAGAAAACTAAAGGAGTAAGAGGATTTAATAAAACTAAGAAAAAAGAAATTGTTGAACAATTGTGCTCTCTTTTGCCATCTAATCGCCATGGATTTTGGTTAACCATTTAAGAGTCAGAGGAGCCAGATTTTTTAAATACTGACTGACACTGAATGAGTCATAAAACCAATTTTTTCCTTGTTACTTAGTTTTAATTATTTCATAACTTCAAATTTTTATGTCTATTCATTTTTAGATATTACGCAGTTCCTAAAAACAGTATGTTTTCAATAAACCTTTTATGTTCAGTATGTATAAAATTAGTTAATTTTTAGAGTAAAAAGCTTTAACTGCTTATACGAGGAAGTTAGGGCTTCTTAGAAACTCATATGTCAGCATCCAACTTTAAAATCAAAAGCCCTAAATTCATTTTTCTCCTAAAAAATTTAAATATTCTTATGTTAACGTTAAAACCATAATTTTAACATTAAAACAAAACCATTTACACATTAAATTCATTTAAAAATATCAAAACTGTGATGCTGGAGAAAAAATTGGTTTTCCTTGTCACCTGTAAAATTTTGTTCTTTGGAGATAGGCCTTTTTAACTTGTGAGGCAGTATTAAGGATGCTTCATAGAAAAACAAGAAAGATTAACAGACACATTTAAACTTGCAGCAGTAAAAAAGAAAAACCGATTTAGAAGACTAAAGCGTTTTCTTGTATCCAAAAAAGAAAAAAGCTTAGCAAATATTTCTAAACAGCCACTTTTCAACAAAAATAAAATAACGAGGAAGAAGAAAAATGCAAAAATAATCTATCCACTTAAGTGGAGTCCTACGTTGCCGTGTGATCAATTCCTTTTGTAACATCATAATTTTTAGGTATCAAAGATGTAATCCAAAGTTAATCAAACTACAATTAAAGGGTTTTTACTCACATATCTAGTGGCTTCAAACATGTACATCCAGATAACACTAATGATGGAATAGTTATTCCGAAAACGTTCTGTGATGTAGCCTAATAAGGTTTTTTATTAATATACCTTTTATAAAGGAAATTTTTTAAATAAAAATATTTTGTGATACCTACAGTCAACTACATGAATTTAGCTTCTTTGTGGGTTTCAAAAGAATTTACTGTAAATAAGTTCCTATTAAGGCTACAAAAAAAGATTAACAAATGTTTTTTTTTAATTTAATTTAAATATTATTTGTTTTATATTTTTATTACTAGAGCAATTTGCTTTCGTACTTCTTATGCTGCACAGTAGAGTGGAGCATTGACTGTCGAGTGTCTAGAGAAAATTGCTAGATTAAATGAAAGTAATAATCGCAAGACGCCAAACAAGAAAAAATCGAATTAAAAATTCAAAAGTAGAATTGAAAACTCAATTTAAAATGTAAAATAATATAGTCAATTTGCATTTGTTTTCTTGTGGCATGATTTAGTTAAATACTGTATTATATGGGATTAAACCACAATTGATTGTAATAAAAATTAAATTTTACGTTCGTTTTCGAAACTTCGTCGAAAAGTTAAAAACAAACATAGAATATAAAATAATACGCTCATATTATTATACGGATTACAAGGGCACAATCAGTATTGTAAGTTGTCTATTATGTAGGTGAATATAAACAGATATCATCCCTCTATCGCTGATGCAGAAAAGTACGGTATGCCAAAATCCAATATGGTTCTTACACAAACAAAGTAGTCGGCGAATTGTTTAACAAATCAAATATGTATTGTGATTTTAATGATAGTACGTAAGAAATGAAGTTATTTGTTAGTTATATGCCTTAATTAGTGGTGATTTGTAATCATTACAAAGAGTGGATCCTTGTAAAAGACTAAATTTAAGGCGCCATGATATGCCAAGCCCATTATCCCTATGTATTTTTCCTTTTTTATTTATTTTTGACATACCGAATAGTAAGAAGCAATCCTATAGGTAGGTTTCTTTAAGTTAATAAAATGTTTTATAATTGATGAAACCGCTAATTACTTTTACTGTGATAAACAACAATCAAAATTTCAGATGAAGAAGATAAGGATTTGAACATAACTGTAGAAGTACTTAAACATGAATTACCCAATCAGTTACCCTTAGGTGACAATATTACCATTATTTGTAAAACCAAGTGGATGTCAAGTGAAATGATGTGGACTTTCAATGATACAAATGTATCAGAGCTACCAGGGTAAGTTCATATATGTTTACATTTTGTGTTGCTATAAACAGATACTGTAAACCAAATGTGCTGTCAAGAGAAGCTATGTTGACTTTACATTGTTTATTTTCCATACTATAGAAGTATCAATAAAGTATAACTAACTAAATAGAATACATCTACACTTCAAAAATGAATAGTTTAAAATGTAGTCACAATTAATCAAAAGACATGTAAAAAATGTATACTAAAGAAGTGTTAATATTTAAATATTAAAAAATATAATGAACAGTAAAGAAAAACATACATACAAATATTTTAGTACTGAGAAGGATAAAATACAAGTGAAATTAATAGTCCTTTCAGCTTAACTTGAAAATTTAGGATTATGGAAAGACAGTGTGTCATTCAGATCCAGTTACTTTAAATTAGTTGAAAGTAACATAATTGAAATATAGAAATTATATATATTCTTTGAAAATCTGTTATAAACATATTAATTACAAGTTATTATTTTATAGTTTATGTATGATAAAATATAACTAAAAATTAGGTTCAATCACCTACTAATTCCTAGAATTTAAAATAAAGTATTTCATGTAGCTCATATGATTTTAAATATATAGTAGAATTCTAAAATATGAAAACAGTATTCATATTATGTGAACAAGCCTCATTAAGTATATTAATTAATACTTGATTACTACTGTATAAGTACTCTGATAATTAAAAAATATTGGAAAGAACTAGAACAGTATATTGACTTAGCTATATATAACTTTATAGTATTGAACGTATTGAATGTATGAACTTTATAGTATGTATTAATGGTCTAAAAATAGTATTGGAACATATAAATAAATATGCAGCCAACACCATATAATACTGACAGCATTAAAAATTGGTACAGAGAGAGCTTAGAAGGGGAGAGTAGATTGATTTATACATGAAAATACTGAAGTTTATTACTATTTAATGGGAGTAAGCCACAATAGAAGTTTAAAATAAGTTTATTTCCGAATTTATTCAAGAAAACAATTTCCGAAGTGGAAATTGAAATGTCAATAAACCTATTTTAAACTTCAATTGTGAATTATTCCCAATAAAATAGTAATTGCTTTAAGATGCCACAAGAAAATAGCTTCAGAACAATACTGAAGTTTATAGTGCAACTAAAATTTGGGTTCAATTGTGAACAAGCTTTATTTAACTCACTATAAAGGTCCATAAATTCAAACATGCTTTTTTAGTTTATAAATAGTTAAAAAGTTAAAGGTAACAGTTAAATTAGAAATGTTATTTATGTTTCACAGTCTCTACTATTGGGAATTTTCATAAAATTAACTGCAATAGTTAGGGATTTTTATAGCAATTTTCGTTTAAACTAATTATTTGATCTCTATTTTAGATTTAAATTGGAAATGGAAAGTGAAAATATTAATAAAGAATCTGGTAATAAGTTCGAGGTCTCTATTTTACATATAATTAGTATTGACTTTAACCATGTTGGTAATTATAAATGTCATGCTATGATAAGAAATGAGACCACTCCTGAAATAGACTTTCGCCAGATTTTCTTAAATGTCACCCTACCTAGCAAAATAGTACAAATTTCAAAACCTACTTACACAAAAATACATGAAACTGTGGAGCTTTTCAGTGTTGTTCAAGGTTATCCAATTGAAGAGATCAGATGGTTAAAAGATAATGAACTTTTAACAGATTTTACCTGGGATGTTAAAGATATCAATATAACACACAAAAACACATCTCTTAAGTTTGAGGTCTCAAAAAAGGATAACGGAACATATACCTGTGTAGTAATAACACCAACTTCCCAAGCCAAAAATTTTACAGATGTTCTAGTTCTTGACAAACCACAGGTTACATTAGACTTCATCAAACCAATTGGGATTAATAAAATTTACTTTAACTGGACTGTTAATGATGGCAATAGCCCAGATGATCTAAAATATATAATACAATACAAATCTGAAGAAGACAAGGAATGGGTGTACTATCAAGCTAATGTGAATGCGACTAGTACTTCTTTAGTAGTCACTGTAAGAAATAATTCAGGAACCCCAACCAAAAATTCATCATACACAGTAAGAATTATGGCCAAAAATTCTCAAGGTGAAAGTATGTACTCTACCAGTAGTTTAGTAAAACTTCTTGATGAGGAACCAATAGTAGTTCCAGAAGTAACTGTTACTGGAGTAACTTCTAGCTCAATCACAATAAAATGGACACCACCACCAGAAAAGTTCAAAGATCACATCCACTACTACCAACTTATCTTAAAATCATATAATACACCTGAAAAATTTGAAGCTGTTCAACCTGCTATAAAAGATTACCTTTACATGTTCTCAGATCTAACCTCTGCAACCACTTATAATTTTCAAGTTGCAGCATGCAATGACTACAGCAAAGAGTGTGGACCATTGTCAGAAGTAGTAAATGGTACCACTATGGATGGCATTGCAGGCCCTCCATCTCATCCCTCTGTAGAATGTAGATTTGATAATATAAGTCATACAAACTTTGTTTTTGTCTCTTGGCAACCTCCTGCTGAGCCGCATGGAACTATCACATCATACAGTGTAAGTAACTTATTTATTACAGTCATATCATGTTATAAATAAAAATTAGTGACTTAACAAAAGAATAAAAGCATATATTTTAATGTCCTGGAATAGCTATTTCATTTCTCTTTTTTACTTTATAAGTTTTTGTTATATTTATATTTACTTTTTTATTATTTATTAACATTGTTTTATACATATCTGAACTTGAGGGTCTTATTGTGTTTAAAAGATGGGTCAGATTGGTTAAATAATGTTTGCTTAATTTAATTTGTTTATAAGCTAAAATCTATGGTTGGCCCATATAATTTCACTGTAAAAAGTTTAAAGTAAAAGCTGTATAAGAAGACTGGTTGGCAATTAGACGATGATCAGTGGACATCAAACAATTTTTAAAAGTTAATTCCAATCACGTGCAAAGTAAATTATTTAATTTCATATATTTTGTTTAGTAAGAATGTGTCATTTTGCTCTGTTAAGGCAAATGAAATAAATATTCATCACATTTCAACCCTGAGACAAATTCTAGAGAAAACACTGGAATACGGTGTAGATACCCATCACATATTTATTGACTAAAAGGCAGCCTACGACTCTGTAAATAGAAGAGAATTGTTTAGAGCAATGATAGACCTAGGAGTACCAAATCGGTTGGTAAGTCTAACCAAACTAACCCTTAAAAAAGTTGAATGCACAGTACGAATCTAGGGAAAACTCTCTGAACCTTTTAAAACAAATAACAGGCTACATCAGGGAGACCCACTCTTCTGTATACTATTCATTCTAGCTCTGGAAAAAGTAATTACATATGTCACAAATCACAACTACCGGTTCAATATACAACAAATCTGTGCAAATCCTAGCATATGCTGATGATATCAATATTGTTGAGAGAACGGAAAGTGCAGCACGAGAGGCATACCTAGCACTAAAGGAAGCGGCTACAAAAATGGGTTTAATAATAAACACCAATAAAACAAAATACATGAAAATATGTACGCACAAATACTACGGCCACTTGTTATAGAAAATGACGTCATCGAAGCAGTTAACGAATTTGTATACCTGGGAACGCTCGTCAATACTGAAAATGACACTACCGCAGAGATAAACCGCAGAATTTTCACGTCTAATAGATGCTATTTTGGGCTTAATCTCCTTTTTAAATCTACAGTTATATCAAGAAATACAAAAGTAAATCTCTACACAACAATAATACGCCCAGTCCTAACATATGGTTCAGAAATCTGGACAAAAAGCAATGAAAACATGTTAGGATGTTTCGAAAGAAAAATACTAATGCGAATCTATGGAGCGGTAAATGAAAATGGTGTCTAAAGAAGACGATACAACTTCGAACTCTATAGAATATACCAGGAACCAGATATCGTAAAACACATTAAGATAGGACATCTGAGGTGGGTAGGTCATGTAATGCGGATGGAGAAAACTGACCCAGCTAGAAAATGCTCCTTGATAGACCTATTGGTCAAAGAAGAAGAGGAACACCCAGAACAAGGTTCCTAGATAACAGACCAAGATATGAGAAATATGGAAATATATGCTTGGCGGAGGAAGGCGATAGATAGGGACGACTGGAAAAAAATTCTTGGGGAGGCTAGGACCCACACAGGTTTGTAAAGTCAAAATGATGATGAATCATTCAATTTACTATACTATACTATAACTCCATATCTAAAATAATCTCTCTCTCTCTCTCCTATGGCGCTACAACACATGTCAATTCCTGTCCTCTCCCAGCATTTGCCTTGAACCAACCCTTTCCTTAGCTACTCTCCCCCAGTTATTCACCCTCATTATCTTTTTAGCTTCTGTTCTTACTTCATCTACCCACTGGTCCTAGGTTTTTCTACTTGCTAACATCCCACCAGAGTTCCACTAGGTAAATGTTCTACCAGTTGTACTATTATTATCCATTCTCATTTGGTGGTCAGCTCAGTGCAATCTTTGTAATATTGATATGACTAGTGGTTGAACTTTATTCTTCACATATCATGGTTGTATATGGGCCCCAATATTCTCAATACCATCCTTTCAAAAGTATTAATAAGGTTTATTGCTTTTTTGTGCCATGATTCATGTTTCTGCTCCATATGTTGCTATTGGTTGTATGATGGTTTTATATATTTTGAAATTTACTTGCCTATGGATGTCTTTATTATTTTTTTTAAGGGACCATTTCTCCCTTCCTCGTCGGCCCTTACCCTACCTTCCATTGTGTTGGGTTGCTCAATCTCCGGTAAGGCTGCTCAGGTTTGCTGGGATTCACCTGTGAACCAGAGAATTAGCTTGAATAACAGCCTGAACTCTATGAGGCATTGTATCAACTAGGCCTTAACAGAATTCAGGGGTGAAACTATTCCATATTGCTTGCAATTTACCAAGTAGTTGTGACAAAGTATGCCGAGTGTTATTTCTTAGGCTTTGTTTCATTTTGTGCCAAAGTGATTCTATTGTATTAAGATCTGGACTGCTAGATGAATGTGACAAAACTGTAATGTCATGTTCTCCCATCCCTTTGCTGGTAGATTTAGTCGTACTGCTGGATATAACTTTGCCGCACTTGTTAGAAACGAATGTTCAAGAATATTTTGATATTTGGCTGCGTTTACTATGCCTTCAGTAAAATGTAAAGTTCCCAACAAGTTTGTCTGACATACAACCCCACACCATGATGCCCTGTAGAAACTTTACAGTCCTTTTGAGACAATCCTTATGGAATGCTTCTGTTTTTTCCCGAATCACACGCCTGTGGTAATCTCTCACACATACATCAAATTTGCTTTCGTCGCTGTAGATAACTTTGTTCCAGTTTTGTTTAGTCCACGAAAGTTTTGATTTAGCCCGAATGTAACGATTCCTTTTTTGAGTTTCCATCAACAATTTTTTTCTTTGGTCTACGAGAAAAAATAAAAAAAATATAAAATTTATATCGTAAAGAAGAACCTATCAAACATATTTTATAAAAACTAAGTCCTATATGCCTGTCCTATAAAAAAAAATTTGAGATGAATTTCAATCATTTAACAGGATGAAAAGTCGTGGGCGACCAAAAAACGTTGACTTCAACAAAGCTTGTGAAAAGCACTTGCTAATTGCGATTGCTAAATATAAAGATCTGCAGAAAATATCAATTTCGAAGAACTATCATTATAATTCTATAAATGCCGATAAAAATATTAATAAACAATTTGCCAGAGCCAAATGAAAGCGAGGATTCAGACGAAGATTAAATTATTCTAAAATACGATTAAGTGTTTTACTATATTATTATTTCTATCTTTGTAATTTTCCATATTTGAAAGTTCTTTTTATTTCACTTTTACCATATTAAGGGTTGATATAACTTCACGTATATGCAGTTTATTACAAAATTTGCAATGTCACAATAACGAATGTTGCCACAATCACGAATGTAACTTTTTTCGCAAATCCCTGATAATATTTCTAAAATATAATTATAACATATAAGTCAAAAAAAAATGTCGCATTAAATCCTGAATTTTTTCAACTAATTGAAAGTTTAAAAGTCGGATATCTGCTAACGCTCATTTTGCACATTCGTGGATGTGACATTGCACCGACGTTATTATTTTAAATTTATACCCCAGTTTAAAAAAAATATATAGCAAATTTGGTTCAGTAGAACCCGAGAAATGTCATTTTTCCGAGCATTATATTTTGAGGTTGTGTTGTATTTTTTTAAGAGCGCTGCTGGTCCTTCAATAGCTACCGTCACTCCTTTTACTCTAGTCGAAACGCAAAGTACTCTTTGTTTGCAACACTCCTGTTTAAACAATTTTCAATAATTTTGTTTGCTAGAAGATTTACTAAAAACTTTGACTTTTCTTATAAAATATTGGCTTATTTCACCCCACAATGTTGTGAATTAACCTAATAGTGATTTAAGAAATGACTCCTAAGGGTCGTAGAACCTTTTTCCTTTTTTAAAAAGTTGTTTTTTATAACCAGCTTTCCGAATATTTTTTTTGCATATAATTTGAACTAAATTCTACGGAGATATTGTAATTGTTTATAAGCTTAAAAAGTGCTATTTATTATTAAATCATTTTGTGTACATAAATATTATTTTTTTAAACTTATTTTTCATATATTAATAGTATTATGACTTAATAAAGAATTAGAAATTTAGAAAATAAGAAAATAAATTATCTTGACCAGCGTTAGAAATTAGCTCTTTTTTTTTTCAAAAAATCTTATGAACAAATTAAATTTCGTAAAAACTATTTAACCAATCTGTAACATCTTTTTCACACAGTTCAAGCACAATAAGAACCTCAAGTTCGGGTACATTTAAACTTATTTGAATAATTAATAACAGTTATTAACATTATTCGAAAACAGCGATTTTGTTGTTCATTTTGCAATACCTTTATTAACTGATTTTAGTTTAGCATATCTCATTTTGTGTATCTCTTTTTTTTTAAGTTTGCTGTTGACGTCAAATCTCTAAGTAGACAAGTTTTTAAGTTATGAACAAAATAATGAGTTTGACGTTTTGATTGTTTATTTAAAAATTGTTCCACTAAAAAAATTGACGAATCGCTAGATGGAAATCTTTTGTATTATCTCATAAAACAGAATTCAACTGTCAAACCTGGCTATACAGTTGTGTCGAGTAAAAATCTAATTAAATTGGCCTATTAGTATTTTGCTATTTTTCGACTATCTGTTTATGAATTTCTTGACTCTCAAAAATACACTCGGATGCAAAAAAAAAAAACGCAACGAAGAAAGTTTTGGTCAAATTCGAAGTATTTCAATTTTTTTATTTTTAGTCTCATTTTGATGATTTTTTTAGCACACTGTGTATAAATTTATAAATTTTAATTTGGTATAGTCAATTTTTTGATACAATTTTATATTTGACTTATTGTACGGGGTTAATTAAAACGTGGTTTTATTATCCTAACTTTAAAACATCCTTTGGAATAATTCCGTTTGCGAATTTTCGTAAAACCTTATTTTTCGGTTGCAACCATGTCTCCTAAGCATTGTGTTTTTTGTTTAATCTCAAAATATGCCTTGGTTCATTTTTTAGAGCCAAATGAATTTGCCACCCACAATTTAGGACGTTTTTAATTATGATGATTTTGGAGTTATTTTGTAATACGACGAGGTGGCTTTGGTGACAACAGTGATCATTATGTCATATTGACACTTACATTTTGTTGACCTATGATTGACTATGATTCTTAGCATCGATGATTGTGCGAAAGCCGTTTTTCTGGTTGAAGATGGGCGAAATTATGAATATGTGGCTAGAGTACTACACACTCATCGCTCTACCAACCAACAGGTAATGGAACGTTTTATACGAACTGGAACAAACAAGCGTAAAGTGGGAAGTGGCAGGAAGCGCAAAACTACCTCTTTAGATGATCGTTTTATACAAGTCAACGCTTTGCGGGATCGTCATTTAACAGCAATGCAAACAAGAAATCAGCTTCAAGAGGTTCGAGGCAATAATGTAAGTGTATTTAGTTCGTCGAAGATTACATGAATTTGGTTTTCAAAGGTGCAGACCAGCAACTGGACTCAAATTACTTACACGGCACAGAGTGGTTAGACTACACTACAATTTTCCAGGGAATATTTACTTTGGAATTTAGGACAATGGAATAATGTTAGGCAATGCAAAATATTAAGTTATTTTTTAGTAGTTTTTCTTTGTTATTTGCTTAGGTTAAGTTACATTAAGTTAGTTGTTTTTTTATGTTTTGTTATTGTCATCGTTGTTCATTAAAACCAAGATCAGGTCGTTGCTTTAAATAATCATTATTTAAATACAGCGCTTCTGGGATGTCGTTATGACATTCGATATCAGCCACCAAAGCCCCCATCGTCTTATTACAAAGTAGTACAAAAATAATGGTAATAATAGGAAAAGTCATAAATTGTGGGTGACAGTCATTTCGTTCCTAAAAATGAACCAATCCATATTTTCACATAAACAAAAAACATAATACTTGAAAACATGGTTGCAACCGAAAAACAAGGTTTTACGAAAATCCGCTGACAGAATTATTCCACAGGATCTTTCAAAGTTAGGATACAAAACCACCTTTCGATTAACCCCGTATAATAAGTCAAATACAAAATGTTGTGAAAAAAACTCACTATACTTAATTAAACTTTATGAATTTTTACACAATATGCTAAAAAACCATCAAAATAGGGCTATAAATAAAAAAACTGAAATACTTTGAATTTGACCAACGTTTTCTCCGTTTCGTTTTTTTGCATCTGAATGTATATTGTTTTTCTACTGTATCATTTTTTGAATGGATAAATAAAATTATACTGATATTTATTCCTTGTTTTCGATTCCTGTCCTGTTTCTGTCTAATATATTTTTTATTGCTTCCTGATTATATTGAAAAAAATATATATTTCATTTAAATTTTACCCTTTTCTGAACTCTTTATTTTAATTATTTTTTAGGTTTTAAAATTAGTTATTTTGTAAAATTTTTTCCTCTTATACATGAGTATTGCTATAAAACGATCTGCATTATTTTTGAATTCGTTCATTTAGTTATTATTTTTGCTAGTCCTTTTTATGGAGTCATGAATAAAATATTTCCAATTACTAACAATTGCTTAATAATGAGTAATATACATTTTAGGTGACCTTGGAAGTTAGTTAATATTTTTGCTAGTCCTGTTTATTGAGTAATGAATAAAATATTTCCAGTTGTTAAGAATTGCTTAAAAATGAGTAATGTACATTTTAGGTGACCTTGGAAGGTTCAGCAGTGTTTTTAAATGACCAGGGCCAATTAGAAAACATCACTTGGGGTCCAAAATCTACTAGTATAGGTGAAATGACCTTAAACACTAGGTTTTATAATGTATCTGCAAACACTAATTATACCGTTAGAATATCAGGAGTGACTCGTCTGAGAAAAAACGGACAACTGGTTACACTCAATTGTACAATGCCTCCCACATTGCCTGATAAGCAAAAACTTGCTAGACTGCATTGGAAGAAGATGGAGGAACAAGGGAAGTGGATGTTTAAATTGTTTGTACCTAGGGTATCCGAAAGAAATGGACCTATATGTTGTTATAGAATTTATTTGGTTCGAATGGAATCTCAACAAAAATTATCCGACTTAGCAAATCCTGAAGATTTGACAATAATGACTTATCAAGAAGCTCACCGTACGCCTAGGGGAGGTGCATATGTGGCAGAAATGTTTACAAGGTAATATTATTTTGCTTTTTAAAAACTACATTTTTTTGGTAGTCTTTTTATCATTTAATATCATTCTAATATTATAACCATATTTTAAATTGGCCTTAAGCCAGGTTCATAAATCTGAACAGACGCATTTGTGCCAGTAAAGATGGTTTTATTAGTTCTAGCTTCCACAATGAAATATTTTTGGGAGATGAGCAAGTTTACAACATCTCAAGCTCTCAATGTGATGAATGTATAGGCTTAAGACCATTCAATACACCCAGAGAAGAAAAAATTAAAAATTCAACTAATCTAGCTAACAGAGTAAGGAGAAATGAAGTACTGCTTGATCCATTTCCACCATGTGATGGCACACTTGATATAAATAGTAACTACACAGGATTTATTGAAATTATAGGTAATATCAGCAACTATTTTATTGAAAATAATTGAAAAATGCCAAAATATTTATTTGCATATTGTATTCTGTTCTGTCGTTTAATATAAAAAATATTTATTTAGTACATGGAGAATCCCAGCCTCTATTCTTGGCAGCATATAGCAACTATTTAGACATGATGAACCCAGGACCAGAAGTGGTTGCAGCCCCAACTACAGGAACATTAAGTCTAATTGTCCAGATTTTATGTGCATTGGTTGTGGTTATACTTATCCTTTTGGGCGCATTGTGTATCTTACATCGTTATACTAAACAAGCACATGCTCAAGCTGTTGAGATGATCACATTCAGAACTTCGTTAAGGTAACACAGTACTAATATCAGGAGTATTCTGTAATCGTTTTTTTTTTTTTGTTTACACTCCTCACTTGAACCAGGTTTTTTATTTATTTTTTCAAATTGCCAATATATTTTTAATTTATTTTAAGATCACAATTCTAAATCATTGAGCAATTAGAACGTTATCAATCAATGTGGAATCGATTGACTCTTGAACGTTTTTATATTTTAATGTAAAGGTACAAATTAATATATGACTTAATTGCCATTTCATTCTGAAGTTTTCTCAAGTGAGTTTAATTTTTGGATGTTAGTGAGATTGATATAAAATACAAAAGTAAAATTTTGCAGAACAGACCACTTAAATTAATAGTAAACTATGATGTATTGCCAGTATATTTTCAAATGCGCACCCAAAACATAAAAATCTTTTACAGTATACTATTTTCTTTCTTATGTGCTCCTATTTTTAGGAGCCTTAGGGGTCGCCAGAGGTTGGTTTCGCTTAATCCACCAGATATGTGTCCAATCAGTAAAGCAGACTTGGTTTCGGCCTACATCGAGCATCATCGAGATTCAGATTATGGATTTCAACAAGAGTTTGAGTTACTACCTGATAGATTTTCTGACAGAACTACTAGAGCCTCTGACGCGCGGGAAAATGTATATAAAAACAGATATCCTGATATAAAATCATATGATCAAACCAGGGTAAAGCTGTCACAGGTGGATAGTATTGCTGGATCTGACTACATAAATGCCAATTATGTTATGGGATATAAAGAAAGAAAGAAATTCATTTGTGCACAAGGGCCTATGGATACTACTGTTAATGAATTCTGGAGAATGATTTGGGAACAACATCTTGAACTGATTCTTATGCTCACCAATCTAGAAGAATACAGCAAAACTAAATGTAGCAAGTACTGGCCTGATAAGACAGATGGAGACAAGATTTTTGGGGATATTACTGTTACTCATTTACAAGAAACGAGATATTCCGATTACATAGTTAGAGAACTAAAAATACTTAGATCAAGCAATGGGAAAGAACTTGAAGAAAGAAATATTACTCAGTACCATTACTTGGTTTGGAAAGATTTTATGGCTCCTGAACATCCCAATGGCATTATCAAATTCATTAAAAGGGTTAATGAGGCTTATTCTGTTGAAAAGGGTAGTATTTTAGTCCATTGTAGTGCTGGTGTTGGCAGAACTGGTACGTTAGTCGCTCTAGATTGTTTACTTCATCAATTAAAGGAAGAGGGGCATGTTTCTATTTTTAATACGATATGTGATTTAAGGCATCAGAGGAACTTCCTAGTCCAATCTTTAGTAAGTAGAACATGTAAATTGATATTTTATAATTTGTTAGATTTTTAGTGATAGAGGTATATTCTAAGCTCATTTGTATCGATAGTTTACAATTTACTGTGGCTTAAGTGACGCTACTTTTGCAATTTTTGAAAAACTGTGTTCTGATCGGAAATGTCACTGTTTAAGCACTGGCTTGAAGTGCTCGAACTATGGGTAATAGGTGGTATGCTAACTTTACATGCGATGGTACAGTCTCCCAAATTAGACATTAAGATTGTCCTAAAAATCTTAAAAATCCAAAAAATGATTTTTGCCGATAGAAAATCGAAGTTTTCTGAGGTAGCAAGGAGTTTCAATTATTAGATATTAGATAATTATCAGTGGAAAAGCTTTGTTTAAAGTGCCGATCAAAAACCACGCATCAACCGTTGTTTACAACTACTGTTTCAGCACTATCAAGGAGTTTTGCGTAAATTTATTACAATAGATGAAACATACCACTGCTTTACTTCGATGTCAAATCGGTATTATGTTAAGTGGACAGCAGAGATGTTGAATGGACAACCGTCCAAAAGCGATGATATAACACAGCAAAGTTTTAACTGACATATTTTGCAACGCTTAAGATATTTTGTTTATGGGTTTCCTTTAGAAAGGAATAACGAATACCAGCCGATATTATATAGCGGTATAGATACTTTTGAATGAAGAAATTGCATTACCAATAATGAAAAAAAAAGTAATTGTTCGCTAAAACAATGTACTGTTTTGCAAATCGATCGCAACACTATTAAAAGTTTATGAATTGTATACTATAATTGTGACTGGCTTCATCATCCACCATATTATTCAGATTTTGCTACCAGCGACTACTGGCTATACGCACTTTAAAATAATTCTTAAGAAAAGAGATTATTGCGGAAACTAAAGCGTGATTTGATATCAACTACAAATCGTTTTACAAAATTGAATCTAATTGTTGGGAGAATTATTCGAGAATCATTCTAGGAGACCAATTTGATAAATAACGTAGAATATTGCCTATATTCGTTTCCCGCCCGGGGCGTATTGCGTCAAGTACTATATAACTGATATAACGAAATATATAGGATATTCCATTAAGAATGGGACAGAGAATAACTCAAGATTATCTGTCTATTAAATACGTTTCACCAAAAAATGTTGATGTAAAAATTGACATTTCGATTTCCGCTCCCGAAATCGTTCTAAAAAAGATTATTAAATGATATACTTGAAAAACGGTGTATATAACTGCCAATCTTGTTGAAAAGTTTACGTTATGTCAACAACATTGGAGGTTAATTCACGTTTGCCCAAGGCCCAAGGATGTTTTGCTCCATGTAAAATTCAAACTCGTGATTATTCTAAATGTTCGGTATTGTTAATATGTGCTGTAAATGTTTGTATGTGTGTAGAAATCGAAATTTCAGATTTTTTAGGTAAAATGTAATTGTCATTATAATCAATTGTGGCCTATTCCCATATAAACATAGTATTTATTTGATTGACCATGAAAATAATAATAACCTGGTCAAAATAGCCTCCGTCGGCGTTAATACATAAATTGCAAGCGGTCTTCAAAAGAACAACTTAATACTAAGTAATACATTTCGGCTTAATTTCATACATTCATTTATAGTTCTCTTATTTATATATTCTTTACTTTTAGCTGGTATTTTATACAGTGAACGGCTAAGTTATGGAATATTATCATTATTTCGAGAACCGTCGAGTTTTAAGGGAAATCCCGAAGCAGGTCGATTTTTGTTATAAAATACCCGTCTTATAACGTACATGGAGTAGGGATGACGTCACCGGTGTGGGTGTAGTGACGTAATCGTTAATTTTGTTAAATAGAAATCGGTATAATGCGACACCTCATTAGAAGGAGAATTTAATTCTCTATTTAACGACATTACATTTTTAACTAAAATATTTTTTTAAGGGTACAAAAACAATTTTTTTTATTTAAATTCAACTAAATTACATAACTAAATTATTATTTAAATTCTCATAAAGATATCAAAAAATTTAGTTGTATCTTATGATACAAAACATTTACCAAATTTGGGAATATTATACCGAGCAATAAAAAAATATGTTCGACATTTTTTTTAATTATCAATAATTATAATATTCTGTATTTCGCAAACACGCAATATTTTACCCATACATTTTTTGTTGAAACGTCTTTTTTTGAAACGGAGAATCTTCAGGGAGAATCTTCATTCTTAATAGAAAGTCTTGCATATACATATTTTATATAAAATTTGTTGTTTCAGAAACAATATATTTTTATTTACCGTGCTCTAATGGAAGTTGCTCAATATGGTGATACAGAAATAAATGCCAATGAATTGAAAAATACATTGGATAAATTAAGACAATGTGATAATGGCAAAACCAAATGCAGACTAGAAGAAGAGTTTGAAAATATTATTCATGCTTTTGAAGACAGAAAGTCTTGTTCGGTAGCTAGCGGAGAAGAAAACCGAGAGAAAAATCGATGCGATAGTATCATTCCATATGATAGAAATAGAGTAATACTTACACCTTTGTCAGGCAAAGAACATTCCACTTATATTAATGCTTCATTTATAGAAGGTAAGTGCTTTGCTGATTTTGTATAATGGGCCAATTAAGTTAGATTTTTGTATAGACTGGTTTGACAGTTGAAATTTGTAGTAGGTATTCATCATTTTTTTAGTAGAACTAAGTAACCAAAAATTTAATGCGAAATAAAAACCAGGTAGCACTCCTTTCTTCCTATTCTTCCTATTGTTTTGCATGGAACGTTGCAAAACAATTTTTGTCGTGTCGGACATTGGAAGATGAACATTACCACTGTGTTCTGCTGTCGTGCTGCAGTTGGTACATCTCCAAGAAGTAGTTGTTTGGGACATATGAGAAGACTTTGAATGGCGCAGTTCCAAGGGAATATGCCTTTTCAATTTACTCACTGGTTTTTCTGCTGATGGTCTTCCCCTTTTTAATTATTCTGGAGTTCCAAATAAGGCGTCTAATCACAGAGAGCCGGAATTCTTTCAAAGGCATACTTTTTGATTGACTTCTAAGTTTAAATAGAATGAATGCATTTACGATGCAAGCATCCACAAAATAAAAAAAAATTCTATGCCACCACTTGGTGATTCACGATTCACCTCATAAAGTCTTTTCAGCGTGTCAAATTTGTCAACATATTCCATATGTGAGTTGTAGAGTAGAGATGTGCTTATTAGTTCTTTTAGACGAACTAGTTCAGTGAACTAGTTTGCGAAAGAACTATTGGTAGGACCGAAATCGAAATCCAACCCTAACATAACTGGTTGCCAGATCTCTCGTCTCAATCATCACACAAGTTGGGCGCCGGCCGCCCGTTTTCTTCGGTTTTCAGTCAGTCTTTCACTACCGTATGGCGTACAAGTAGTTCGGATTCGGAACCATTTCTTTCGATTGTATGTTTAGGTTTAAATGTTTTAAATGATTATATGATTAGTTAGTTTTTCTTTATAATAATTTATTTTCTTAATCAATCCCTAAAGATGAGTAAAAGACGAAATAGAAGTTTTTTATGGGATTATTTCGAGAAAAACGATAAATAAAAAATCAAAAATCTGCAAAATGTAATTACTGTAAAAGGACCTGAAAAATCAGAAAATACATTTCGAGAACCTCAACCTCCAACGTGAAAATCAGTTTCGCTAGTTGGACAAGCAGGGGAAGATGAAGAGAAAGCAGTCATAATTCTTAAGAAAAATCCTTCTCCTACTTCCCTTGTTTCTATCAGGGACTATGTAATTCGACCCGTTCCATTCGAAATATATGATCTTATTCATTCATTATTTTCTTCTTTAGAAATTAAGACACAATTTATAATGCAAATCGTTCGCAGTGAACTAGTTCTATGAAAACTAATGAACTAGTTCAATTAGTTCAGTTGAAAGAATCGTTCATTTGAACTATTTTGATGGTGAACTGCACATTCCTATTGTAGATCACTACCATTTGTGGACATGAAACCTCATTCAGAGTAGCGTCTTTTTGTCTTTTCTTTACAATTTCGTTTGTTGCTGGATTTTGGTGATTTGCTAAAAGAATCACACTTCTGCGATCCATCCACTTCAACGCAGATAGTCCATCTGTTAAAATACGGTAATATGAATCTCCTCGATTCATTTTTTTGTCAGTTTTGAACTCTGGTAAATCCTTTCTTTTTTTTACCGGTTCCACTTGCGTAAATTCTGCCCGACAATAAAGATATCTGAAGATCAATACAGTTGAAATAGTTGTCAAAGAACACTCGGTGGTGTTTATTTACAAATACCCTTATTAGATCGTGTACGACTCCTTGTCCTAAGTTTTTTCGGTGGAATTTCCCATTTTACCGGTATACAGTGTAGGTAAAATTTTATGGCCAGTATGGTAAAATTTAGCTACTGCAGCTTCTTATAGAGGGGAAGGTAGAAGGAAAACGTGGTCCTGGTAGACGGCAGGCGTCCTGGTTGAAGAACATTCGTGAGTGGACTGGTTTGGATTCTCAATCTTTAATAAGAAAAGCCAGGGACAGAAATGATTTTGCTAAGGTTATCGCCAACCTTCATTGAAGACGGCACCCAAAGAAGAAGAAGATGGTAAAATTTAACAGGATATCTAACACAAATATAAAATCATATTTTCAGCGAATAGACAAAGATAACAATCCTATTTCCCCTTGGTCTCCCCTCCATATTTCTCATTGACGCCCATTGCGCATTAGTAAAACGATTAGTTTCCGTGAGTTTTCCAGTAGAGGTCGCATTTTGTCAAGTTTGTCAAGTCTAAGATCATTTTTTTTTGACTGCACTCTATTATCAACCAGATGTAAATTGCCTAGTAACCAAGCGAATATGTTACGTGACATAACCAAACTGATGAAAGGGGCTCGGAATTCATTACGTGACGTTAGTATTTAAGGTTTCAAAGTTGCCACTATCTTAACCCCTATAGACTGGACACGAGGGTCGTGTTTGGTGTATTTCAATAGATTTTTGTAATGTATTCTTCTTCTTCCTCTTTATAAGCAATTCTGGTTGTTCATTACCTCTATGGAAGTTTGTCTCCCCCAATCTGCTTACGTGGTTTTTCCATTATTTTTTCTATTTAGTGTCTATTCGTTTATACACTGTATGTTACATTTTCTTCTAATGTCTTCACTTTTCTTTCGATCTCTAATCGCATTTCCTGTAATTCTTCTCAGTACTCCCCTCTATGTCGTTTCCAGTACCCTAGGTGTTGTGGTTGTATCGGGTCTTGTTTCTGAGGCTTATGTCATTGTCTTACACTGACTTATAAATTATTGACTTCATCTTTGGCGCACCCTATGTACTGGTACTAAATACAAGTAAATTGTTGCTGATTTTGCATGTATGGATATTTTTTTGATTCAATCATTTACGGAGAGATATGAGTATCCATGAAAATGTTTTGCCAAATTCTTACGAGTTCGTATCACTATGTGTTTTTAAAGCTTCGAACATCGACTTTATAATGAGTTCCTTGTTCACCATGTCCTTGATCTTCCTAGCGGATTTTTCAACTATATACAATTTACCTTGCTTCAGTATTCCGTGAACAGAATATTGCAATAGGGTTTTTTCTGTGTAATTTTAAGTTTGCTGCTCCTGGACCTGGAATCTCTATGGCGTCGATTGCTAGCCGAATCGTATAGTACCGTGGATGTCTTTTACAGTACCTTATAACCATATTACGAAATTATCTTTCAAAGTTATATGTAAGATAACTTTTTAGGCTAGGGAAATAAGCAAAAAAGTACCCTGTTTGTGACACTGACCGCCCAGGCAAACGACAGTTGTTTTGAGTAGTATGGATCTCTTTAACAAAAGCCTATGTTTCCTGCAGTCGATATTTTGGACTTGTATTACGAAAAAATGCTTATTTCCCTGAGCTATTTCTTGATTGTGTTATTTGACATGATCCAGTTTACTAGTTTACTATTTTAAAATATTTATTCTTTAGCTAGTTAACTTTTTCTTAATATTTCTTCACATAATGTTTATTTTTATTTCAGGATACGATAATAGTGAATCGTTTATTATCACACAAGATCCCCTCGAAGGAACAATCAACGATTTTTGGCGAATGGTTTCTGAACAAGGAATTAGCGTTATAGTTATGATTTCAGAGGTTGGCGAAGGGAAATGTCCCAGATACTGGCCTGAAGAAGAAGCTCATTACGACCATATACATGTCAGATATGTTCAAGCGGAAAGTTGCCCGTATTATACGAGACGAGAAATGATAATAAAGAGTAGAGATGGGGAGGACCAAAAAGTAACGCATTTACAATATCATGGATGGCCCACTGTAGATGGAGAGGTAAGCTATGATATTATTTTAAATGGGTTTTGTGATTATGAGGCAAAAAATTCAAATGAAAATTAATTAGGTATATACCATCTTACAACCTTAACCCGTGAACATTTTGACAGTACAATAATTTTTCAATGGATTCAGTAAATTATCCTTATTTATGAATGTAAGACTAACATATAGTACTGGCTCACCCTCCCTTAGTTTTAATTGCTTATAAATAATAAATAACTGAGTGCATATATAAGATACCATTATTAAATAATATTTCATGGAATATTTATACTGGTCTATAACGAATTCGGGATCCTGATCTTGTACTAATGGGATAATATGAGTACTTACAACAAGGATTCTAGTGGTTACTATAACAAATATAGCACAATCTATCAACTGTAACAAAGAATACTGTTAATTAAATTAAAGAATTATTGTTAAACAAGAATTGACAAGTTTTCGAAAAAGAAACGTACAAGGATCATAATATTCACTATAAAGGAAATTAGTACGAAAGTACAAAACAAGTGAAGAGCTGTACCTGGGATTTTTTATTTGTATTGAGAAGGCTTTTAACAGAAAGCTAGAGCTAAAATGTGGAAAAGTTTCTCCAATATTAATTTTAATCATAAACTTTAAGAAAAATATAAAGCCTTTATAAAGGGGCAGTAAAATGTATCATAAGGCAAATTAGAAGATCAGAACTTTTCTCTACTAAGAAGGAGGTATAAGTTTCTTATTGTTTGTCAACATTTATAGATGAAATAATCAAGAAAAACAGTATAGATTAGTGTCAGAAAGCTCGGTAGATCTGCTTCACTTCTCTATCACAGGAATGTAAAGTGGTAACGTATTATACTGGATATTCAAAAAGTTATATCCACTATTGCATGGGGTAAATTGGGGTTCAAATAGAGTAATGATGCGCATCATAAGGTTTTGCTTCCAGATAGCACCTGTGGCCTCTCCTAACCAATTTTTATCCTCACCTCCAAGAAGTATAATCATTCTCACATTGGTGAACCCTGATAACCTACCTAGCCACCCTAATGAAAGGTAGGGTCGGGACTGATGAGTAAGGAGGCTGGTAAGTTGCCACTGCATTAAATGGACTAAGGATGTATCAAGAAAAATTAATAATGGAGAGTCAAAATAAAACGGTCTGGAGTGTCTGGCGTCTCTTAAATAGGGTAGGGGTGCGAATAATTTCCAAACAGAAAACCAAAATAAATATAAATCGTATTGCAACGTGGAATGTACGAACATTATATAATACTGGACAACTCGTAACAGTAGCACTAGAAATGGGCAGACTTGAAATAAAGATAATTGGCCTCAGGGAAGTAATATGGCCCAGTGCTGGACAATGCTATCATAACGATATGGTTCTTTATTACTCGGTTAGCAGTAGAAATGATCACAAAAATCGTGTAAGACTCATGATTAAAAAAACGCTACAACCATATGTCTCTAACTTTATTCCCTATAATGAAAGAATAATAATGTTACAGTGTAAAGCTACACAATAAACATAAACATAATTCAAATTTATGTCCCAACATCACGCAGCACCGATAATGGCGGATTTATTCTATTCAAATTTACAACATCTAACGAAAAACATGAAATCTACATAATAATGGGCGACTTTAACGTCAAAGTAGAAAATATTGTAGGGAATTATGGTCTAGGAATAAGAAACGAAAGAGGAGACCGATTAGTGCAATATTGTGAAGAAAAAAACCTGATAAGAAACCAAATCGATTATAATCTCGTTAATAAAAGATTTAGAAATGGGTTAAAAAAAGGAAAATTCAGACTAGATATGTCAAAGCTTGAGGGTGAAAAATGTTAACAAATAAATGAAGCTATTGCATCAGCATTCACAGAAGTTTCAAAAAAGATATTAACAGTGCCTGGAACGAAATGAAGGCGGCATTACTTAACGCTGGCGAAATATTTGTGGATAGAAAAAAAACCAAATGACAAAAAAGGCTGAATAACAGAAGATATTATAAAACTTGTAGAACAAGTAAACTTGTAAAACAAAGATCAAGGAAGCTAAAGAACTCTGGATGGATGAAAATTGCAAATAAATAGAAGAATTTAAAATGGACACACAACCTACATAAGAAGCTGAAAGAAATTACGGGAAATACACGGAAGAGAATACCACAAGTTATAAGAAACTCCAATGGAGATTTCCAATTATCAGAAGAAAAAAAACAACAAACTTGGGAAAAATATATTAAGAAATTATTTACAAATAATAGGGAATAATAGGGAACACTACCAACTAATGAAAATATACAAATTCTAATATCGATAGGTGAAACAGGCAATTAGAAACTCAAAAAGTGGTAAAACGCTAGATCCTGATGAAATTCCAGTAGGAACTTTATAAACATCTGAATAACAAAAATATTCAGTGTAACTAAATTATTTAATAAAATATACCACGACGGTCAAATTCCTGATGAATGGTTAAAATTTATCCTTTTGCCCTTACCAAAAAAAAAAATCCTAAATCTTGCGATGAATACCGATTTGTATCGATAAATCAACAGTTTGGATTTAGAGGTGGCATGGGAGCAAGAGAGGCATTGTGCTCAATGACAGTACTATTACAAAAAGGCAGGGAATATAATAAAAACGTATTCATATGTTATATAGATTTTCAAAAAGCGTTAGACAGAGTTCAACATGGTAAGCTCATACATGTATTAAAACACATACACCTTAGATCCCAAGGATATTAATTTAATAAAAAATCTATTTACAAATTAAACAGCGGCCTTAAGGCTGGAAGATAGTGAGACAAACCAAGTAGAAATTCAAAGAGGAGTCAGACAGGGATGTGTGCTGTCGCCACAATTATTTAATGTGTACTCGCAACTAATATTTCAGGAGGCACTCTGGGAATGAACTGAAGGTGTAAGAATTGGAGGGAGCATCATTAATAACAAGATTTGCAGACGATACAATCATGGCAGAAAATATAGAAAATTTACAAATTGTTATAGAAACCATTTACACAGAAAGCAAAAAGATGGGGCTAACAATGAATATACATAAAACCAAATACATGATGATCTCGAATACCCCTATTGACAACATTTATCTGACATTGGATTCTTAAAATTCCTTGGACTGCAAAACTCTCAAATGAAGAACAGTTAAGAGGAATTGGACAATGCAGATAGCTTATGGACACAATTAAAATAGAGAAAAGATCGTATGTGGGCCACATAATTCGAAACGGTAAATACTCTCTTCTACGCCTCATCATTCTAGGAAGACTAGTGTCATCTTTTTGGAAGAAAAGAGGAAGAAAGAAGAAATCTTGGCTGAGGAATATCAGAAATTGGACTAACCTAAGCGTTCAACAGATATATTACGTTGCAAAAGATAGGGAAACGTTTAAAGAAATGATCACCAACCTTCGTTAGAAGACGGCACAATAAGAAGAAGAAGTAGAATGGCACATGAAAATCGTATCAAGTTACCATATATATCGTAAAAAGTATAGGAACAAATGATCTCTTGTAACCATAGTTTTTAATAATAGTCAAAAATTATAAAATGAATAATTTCGACAACATTTATTAAAACGAATACAGGGTAAGTTAAAATGCAAATACATTATTTTCTTGGTAATTTTAAATGGGTCACCATGTATTTTATATCAGTATTGAAAAATTCTGTTACCATACTTCAATTTTTATGGATGAAAATGAAAGGCAGCTTTGTTGTAGTATGCGTTGGATAGCATTTGTAGAGCAGCATCAGCAACTTGGAAGAAGTTGATGTACCAGTCCGAAGACGAAATATAATGTTTTTCCGTTGACAACAGTATGTGCGAAAATATTGTATGGACAACAAAAAATATGCTAGGACAAACCTGTAACCCGATATCGAGAATGATTCTGACTATCGTTTCTTTTGACTGACTTGATGGCTGCCTAGGTGATTGTTAAATTGTGCATATCTCTGAAATATCAGCATATTTAAAATAACTTAAACCACTTCTTGCTAAACCTAACTTCAAATGTCAATCAAGATTATTCATTTTTTATATTAAATCTAGTATAAATAAGTAACTTTGCAGGTATTGCATATTGCAAGCACTTCCACAAATGTATTTATGTTGCCATGATCTAGATTTTGAGCATATGTATTAATCAAAGTAATAAATGTATATAGGTACTTAAACTTATTATGACCTTATCATATATTTTGCCTACTAATTACAGAATTGTTTTCCCTGGAGACTGCTTATAATTAAAGCATGTTAGAACTGAAAATATCGAATATTTGGCCAAAATATATCAAGTATATCTAGAATTAAAAATTTCTAGATAAAAAATTATTATAATCAACTTGAGTTTTCTATGAAATCGTGTGTGACAGATTTTCTTCTCCACTTGTATACTTAATCCTTGCAAAGTTTTGACGTGATATTTTTGCCAAATATTCGTTTCTCATAGCCATAGGACGTCGGTGTAAATGGCTGTAAGAGGTAAATTTTTTCAGAATCTATCTCGTCTCCTCTTGCCGCCCATTTTCACAATTAATTTCACATTCCTGCAACAAGGTGCTTCCATTGAGACTTCTTTCCAGGTACCTGAAGTGACAAGGGGACTTATTGAACTTGTGGACTTTTCCCAGGCAGTTTTAGTGAAAAATGGCTGTTCCCCTTCTATGGTTGTTCATTGTAATTTAGGATCTGACAGGAGTTCAATGTTTGTTGGGCTCAGTATACTTGTACAGCAGCTAAGGACTGAAAGACGAGTCGATGTATTTACCATTACTAGAAAATTAAGGTCACAACGACAGGCTATGATCAACTCATATGTAAGTATCTATTTGAAGTTATTTTAAGTTATATGAAGGTGTTTAGTAGATACCAAATTATTTTATACAAGATTGCTAATAATTGTATTTCTATTTAACTGGGATTATTGCTGATAATAATTCACTTCACTCAATTTTTCTGGCTTCATCCTATTCAAGGCTAGGACGACAATAAAATGATATTTTAATCTGTTGTACAACTTTCATAACAAATAAGTCACTTTTGGAGATTTTTTGCGTAAAGTCGTCAAAAGAATTAAAAATGAAACTTTTAAAATAATAAACTATATAAAAGGGCCGGTCTTTTCACCAGATAAATATTGTCCTATCTGACAGATAGCTATCTAGAGGATAAACATTTAGTCATGGAATAATGTACCCGTCTTTTCACTTCAAATTATGTTGCGGTTACTTATCTGTAAGATAAACGTAAAATTTATTTCGGAACCTACCAATATTTAATTAATTGTCAAAGAAATACCACTAATGTTTTAATATCTCTTTTGATTATACAGTTTGTGATGGCAGGAATAAATTAAATTATGTAAGAAATATTTAATAACGAATAAAAAAAATAATACATGTCATATTAACTATTACATAAACATTTTCAACTTCAGAAAGTTCAATAACGTCTTCATTAAGAAATTCTTCTTCAAAATCGTCTTCATTTTGAATCTTTCAATCTTTTCAATTTTACAGCCACTTCCATTGGATAAAGTAGTACCTAACTTTCCCATACATAAAAAGTTCCGTTAAGTACATATCTGGTTTTAATATGGAATGTCTTATAGAAATTTTCTGCATCGATTGTTTAGTGTAGTCCTTAAAAATAGCTTCACTGTATAATCAGAATCTCCAAGTAACAACCCTTTTTATTTTGGAATCTTGTACTGCTTAGCGTCAATATCTCTTGGAAAACGTTAATTCTTCAATTTTTTTTAATTCTCATTAAAACTGTGATTATGAAAACATTGAATGCCTGAGCTAAGTGAAGAAAAAGAGGTATTTACTCAAAATATAGGTTACTGCCAGTTTACTTAATTTAAACCTCTTAAAAAGTCTTTATCATTATAAGCGTTAATTATATTTTCGCACTAAATTTATAAACACTAAACATACTCTTTGATTTCATTAAATCTTCTAATACTGGATCCATGTCTCACATCCACAATAAACAGCAATATTTAGGTTTTATTTTTGATTTCGCGATAACTTATAACATAACAACTTCTTATTCGGGCGCTTTATTTGGCAAATAAATATTTTACATTTTATCTGTCAGATAAGTTTATTCATGTCAGTTGGTAGTTCAGATTTATTTCTTAGGTGTCGCTAGGTGTTTAAATTTAAATTAACATAAAGCTATAAATTATTTTCCACAAGGAAACGTATCGTTTTAAGAACAAAATATGATAATGTCAGATGTTGGTAGTTCAGATTTCTTTCCTTAAATGGCGTAGTTACCCTACCGGACAAACAGTGTAACTTGTCCTCCTAGCCTTTTATATATATAGATAGATAGTATGCATGATCGCCCCGATCCAATCAATTGCACGTCTTTATCACAGGAATTAAATAGGTTAGATATTTTCATCTTCATTTTGATTTATTTGTATTGTCTATTTTTTATTGAGTTTTTTTTTGAGCTGTTAGTTTTGTTTTGTCCAATATATTTTTATCTCTATTCCTTTCCTGTAGTTGGCTGTATATTATGAATCACAACATATTTATTTAAAAATCCTTTATAAAAGGAAGACCCTTTCGGGCTACATCACAGAACTTTTTTGGGGTAAACAGTCCATCATCAGTGTATTATTACCTGGTATTTATTTCAACCTTAGTCAAAATTTAACCTTCACTTTTTGGTTCACTAAAGTGGTAATACTTATTCCAGGTAATAATGCACTGGTGATGGACATCTTAGTCCGACAACGTTCTGCGATGTAGCCCGAAATGGTCTTAAATTATTTTGTTTATTAAATCTTATCTTAAAATTATAGCAAGCAATACTTTTGGCAATTTTTATTGAGTTTTTGTTGTCTATTTTTTATTGAGTTTTTTTTTGAGCTGTTAGTTTTGTTTCGTCCAATATATTCTTATCTCTATTCCACTTTCGTAGGTTTCCATCTGTAATTATCTTTAGGTAGTCTATTTTTGTATATTTTCGTTTTATTTTTTTTTCTTTGACTCTATTCCTAATTTTCCCTTCAATTTCCATCTCTTAGTTAGGTCTTTGTTGATGTAGATTTGCTCAGTTTCTCTTAGCCATAATTTACTTTTGTTGAGCATTATTTATCTTTCTCTTCGTAATTATCTGTTTTTATTAGGCAAGTTTTACTTAAAAATTTTCGTTTGAAGTCAATATCTAGTTCTTTCTTCATAAAATGAGTTTCTTTAATTAATTTTGTCTCGCCTCTATCCATTGACAAACCTTTTATTACTATATCGTTTGCCTTACAAACAGTTTCTGTCTGACCTAGCCTAGTTTTTTATACATCTGAGTTCCTCTCTCATTGCTTATTTTCCTTTTAATAGTTGTTTAGTTTGACTTACCCCTTCTATTTTCTTCTTTATTTATTCACATTAGAATTCTTTTGGACCCTTAAAGCCTGAGTTCGCCGCTTTTTATAGAACCATTTGAAAGATTAACAGAAGTTTAGGCAAAGAAAAATAGAAACCATTCCATTAAAAAAGAGCCATCTATGATGCGCTACAGATAAATGGTTTAAAAGCGAAGCGATTTTACTACATATTTCAAAAACCTAATTCATCAATTAAAATTTATAAAAGTCGCAATATCGCCGATTAAAATCAACGAAAATTGATGTTTTTTTTTTAATTTGGGGTAGCTCGTGACGTAGATCATAAAAATGCATTTAGTTATTTTGTGAATTGTTTACTTAACCGAGTAATTTGTTTAAACAATTTACAATAAAGACTTATTTTGCTTTTTTACGTTTCTGTTAAAAGGAAAGGTTATGAAATGATAAGCAACCCTAATATTTATATATTATAGGTAAAAATAATATCTTTAATAAATTTTACAAAAAATTAATTTTTTTTTGAAAATCAAATATACGCGTTATTTTTTTTTTTAATTATGCTTATTATTTTTACAATTACTTTTTTTTTACAAAAACATTACAAATATATTTTACAAAAATTAGTTTTTATAAACTTTGTATAATTTTAATTAAAAATATGGAATTAATCTGTATGTATAATTACCATCTTAGAATTTTACTATGATATATAATTATATAAAGATAATAAGAATTAATTTGTTTAAAATATATTTGTAATGTTTTTTAGTCAAGAAAAGTAATAGTAGAAACTATAATACATAAGTACTTAAGTTAGCTATCATTTAATAACCTTTTCTACTAATAATTATAAGAGAAAAGTAAAAGTTTCAAAGATAAGTTTTTATTTTAAATTGTTTAAACAAATTACTCTGTTAAATAAACAATTCACAAATTAACTAATTGAATATTTATAATGTATGCAACGAGGATTTGATAAATATATTATATCTGAGGGGAATTACTTTGAATTGGATAATTTTTTTTTAAACAAATCTGATTGATTAATTTTTAAATTGTTCTGTTTTCAGGCACAGTACGAATTTCTTCATCGAGCAATTGTAAATTACGCAGAACTCCACGGACTTTGTGAAATATAAATACTGAAGATTTGTGCCATATAACTTCTATATTTCATTCCAAATACCATTATTGGTCTCACTGATATTAAGTATTTTTATATAAGTAATTTATATAATCTAGGAACATTGTAAATTAGTTAAAAAACGTTTTATTCCTAGTTGAAAGCCAAAATATTTTGTTTAAAACCAAAGGCAATTGACTGTAAGGTTTGTTTTGAGCAATAACCGTTTTCGAATAGATTTTTAAAATTCTTAGCTTCGGCTCAAATTTCGTACTGCCATACACATAATATTTATCTCTCTGAAATGACTGTAAATGATCTTTCACACACTTAATCATTTTATGATGCCTTATTTATTTATACAATGGAATTTATTGTCATAAAATAGTAATGTATAATATATATATATATATATATATATATATATATATATATATATATATATATATATATATATATATAAAAGAGGATCATCAGATAAAAAATGAGACCTTAATTGGCCGAAACGATACATAGAGAGAGTAAATAAAGCTATGTATCCAACTACATTTACAAGAACAGTGTTAAAAATTAAAGCCGGCTCTTAAATGTTTGAATATGCATATAAGGAATATTGCGTAAATGTTTTTTTAAATTTGAAAGATGAATAAATGACAAGATAATCCTCAATGAATATGAAACAATTTATGAGCATTAATGAATTTTAATTTATCGAATATTTTTGGTAAAATATTTGGTCTAAAGTAAAATTTTTAAACCGATTAAAATTGTGATATGTGTATACAATTTTTTTCTTAAATAGGCAAAAATTCGATAAAATTGGTTTTTAATATTATCTATTATCGCTAATTAAGAATTAAAATTGAATAAATTCAGTGAATTATACAAATATTTCTGTTTTTCAATGTATTATCTGACAGAAGAAAGATTTATTTTGCCCAAACACTTGTATCTTATGATTTTGACAACCCCATTGACCTTATCTATTCAGTAATAGCAATCTTATTCTATTGATTACAGCTCAAAATTGTTACACATAGAACAGTTGATGTTACACCGGTCCATTTCCTAATATTGACCAGCCAATATATACTTCTGCATGTTTAATATTGTTTATAAGTTATCATTATCAGTTTACTGTAATACCATCTTCTGATTCTTCCAGGACTTCTCTAAAGATGTTTTTAGATCTTATTAAACACTGCTGGTGACAGTATGCATCCCTGTCGAACGTCTTTTCCGACTATAAAGATCTCGGTTGATTTTTGCAACCGTCGCCGCTACGCAAATTAGTTGCAAAATTGAACAACTCGATAACAGCTCGACGGATCGTGACGTATGATATCTCGTTGGAAAAGGTAGAGGGCAACTAGTACAATGATGGAAAAAACAAACATGGCGGTATTGACAAAAACGCATTACATCATATTTCCGTTGTTAATATTAACAGAAGGGGATAACGATTATATTAAGATAGAAAAAACAAACAAGACGACTACTAAAAGGGCAGACTACACAGCATCTTCGTTATTAATGAACATATAGACATACGAGAAATCATAGGGCACTATGGATGAAAAAATAGTGATTTACTATGAAACAATTATTAATTTATTGACTTAAGTTAAACATTATTACGTCTCATTACAAAATAAACATCTAGCCGAATCCTAATGCCGGGTCCAGACCAAGCAGACAAAACAAAAACATTCATGTTTCGCGACAAAGTGGCGACAAATCGAAAACATTTGTTGAGACATTTCTGAAACAATTTTGTTTTGTTTGCAGATTTGAAAACTTTTTCAGGTCCCGTCTCAGGTCGGTAAAGATCAAAAGGTCTGTATTTTGTCTGTGTTTTTGACGACAAGTTGTCGACGCAGTGTGGACGCGTGTGCGTGCCAAAACGAGTTAAGCAGTAGAAGAAATAGAATGTACAATTTTTATCAAAATCAAGTGTATTTTTCTGTTGTGTAGTAATTAAATAAATACTAGTGTATTTTTCTAAACATGTCGGGAGACAAAAAGTGGAATACACAAAATACATGCAAGTTAATAGAACTTTACAAGGAGCATCCGATATTATGGGACCCTAAAAATAAAGATTATAAAAATCGCTACAAGAAAGCCGATGCATTAAAGGAAATTTCTTTATCGCTAAATGTGCCACTAAATGATGTTGAAAAGAAAATAAAGAATGTTAACAACCAGTATGCTAGAGAAAGACGAAACTACAAGAAACTTAAAAAATCTGGGGCTGGGAAACTTTTCAGTTCAAAATGGTTTGGTTATGTCGCATTTTTAGGCTTGGTCTAATCCAAAAACGTTTGGGTTTTCGTTTAGCAACCTGGGATGATGATGAGAGCAAAAAAAAACAACTTGCGGCTAGCAATAAATCTTCAGTTTCATTTTTTTTCTTGATTAAAACGCCACATGGTTAACCAACACTAATCACAACAACGTCACCAACTGAATTTTGTTTTTATATTTTGTTGTTCTGGTGTGGACAGTTTGTCTCAATTTTGTTTTGTCTTTTGACGACAAATTTTGTCGCCGGTTTATCGTGTTTTTGTTTCAGAATTGTGTTTTCGTTTTGTCTGCTTGGTCTAGACCCGGCATAACATATGACACATAAAATGAAATGACGTGACACTTAAAGTATATATAATGTATATATATAATATATATATATATATATATATATATATATATATATATATATATATATATACAGGGTATAATAAAAACACTCGGGGGAGTGCCGGCAATAGTGAAAACTTCTTAAATTGTGTTAAAATTAGAAGTATTATTCTTAATGTAATTGTATAAAATAAATATCAGTGTTTTTACAGTGAAAACGTTGTGCATTTTTGAATATACACATACATGATATATCTCGCCATAGCGGTGACGGTTGCAAAAATCTGTCACAGCTTTAATGCTTCTTCCCCATCCGAAAAGAAGTGCTGTATAGTATATACGCCTTCTTTAGCGACGTTGTGTACTTAAATGAACTTAATTTATTGTTCATTTTTTGATAATATTAGTTTCATTGTCATCGCACTTATAATTTCAAGATTGCTTAAGATCTTTATGAATGTAAAGTATTTAAAATTGGTCATTAAAAGAAGGGTTATAGTCTAGGAGATCAAGTGCGTACGTAGAATGTGTTTTACTATTATTGAAAGTCCTTTTGTGTCGTGCTATACGTGTGTTACAGATTCTACCAGTTTGACCGATGTAAGTTTTTGGACAGTCACCACATTTGTTTGTATACACCACTTTGTAAGTGCTTTTTCTTTTGGCTCTTGTTGTTTTTAATATATTTGAATAAGTTGTTTGTTCTGAAAGCTGGTGTTGTTCATTTCTCTTTTATGTCTTTAGGTATTTTTGTTGCTATCTTGCGTGTATATGTAATCGAGCAGAAGGTACTGGGTGTTTCTCTGATGGTGGAAATACTAATTTGTTATTCTTTATTGGCATAACGTTTACAATTGTTAGATTTCTCCCACTTCAACAAAAGAACCCGAATCTTACAGTACTATTACGTTAACTAAGGTTTTCAATAAATTTTTCTTGCAAATCTGAACACAAAGAATTGCATTCTCTTCGGGGCATACAGATTGCAACTGCTTCAGAAATTATCATAGGCAATATGGGAGCAAACATTATCTAACTCTATAATGTTACATTACAAAATACCTGACACGAACGGCTGCACTTTTTGACTTTGAGGGGGATTTGAAGGGGATTATCAGCTTACCTGTCTTTGAATCCTTCAGTGTATCCACATCACGTTTTAAATTTTTGAAATAATTATAAACATGAAACACTATATTGCGTGCTTGACTTGTAATAATGGGTATTAGCTTCGTTACTGTATTGAGGGTAAGACATTTCTAACACAATTATTTGATAACTATTGTTATGATACACAACTATTTTAACAGAAATATTTCAATAAAACACTGAATTCAAAGCATTCTCTGTGGACATTCATTTCAGGGATATCAAGTATTAACACTCAATGCTCTCTAATTGTATCTTAATCTATGATTTTTTTTTACATTTTAAAACACTAATACAGTGATGATTAGAATCTCCCATACGTCGCCATTTTACTAATAGTCCATTTAAGTTAGTCTTTTCCTCGACACAACTGTCTAGACGGGTTTGATTGTTGAAATGTGTAGTATGAGGTATTACAAAGAGACTGTCATCTAGGGATTCATCAATTATTTCAGTGGAAATATTTTTAAATAAACAATCAAAATGCCAAACTCATTATTTTGCTCATAACTTAAAACTTGTCTATTTAGAGATTTGACACCAACAAACAATTTAAAAAAAAAAAGATGAGATATGTTAAATTATTAAAATCGGTTAATAAACGAAAAAGTTATTGCAAAACGAACAACAAAATCACAAATGTGTTTTGTGTACACAAATGATGTGTACACAAAATTATTTAATAATAAATACTACTTTTTAAGCTTTAAACATTTACAAGAACTCCGTAGAATTTAGCTAAAATTAAATAAACATTTGGAAAGCTAGCTTAAAACTTCAAAAACCCAAAAAAAATGTTCTAGGACCCTTAGAGCCCAGATAACACCCTTTTTTTAATTACTGTTACGTTAATTATCAATATTAAGTGCTGAAATTAGCCAATATTTTATAAGAAAAGTCAAGGTTTTTAACAAAATCTTTAGCAAACAAAATTGTTAAAAATGGTTTAAACAGGAGTGTGGTATAGAAGGCAGGTAATTTCGTAATTTCGAAACTAGCAAATTAGCAACAATGTTAAAGTGACCATTATGATATTCTACTGTACAGTAGCGTATATGTCTAATTTTAAATTAAGGGGACAGTCTCATGCGATTAAAAAAAAAGACACATTTTAAAATTAAAACAGAAAAAAAACTATAATATTTATTAACATAATTCCTTTTGGAAATGATTAAGTAAGTCTTGAAGTACATAAAAAAAAATTTAATAGCGATTTTAACTTCATTGGTG